GGGACGGGACGGGACGGGAGGAGGAGGAGAAGGAGAAGGAAAAGAAGGAGAAATAGGAGAGGAACACGAAGTGAATACGAGGACGCAGCAAGGAGCAAAGGAGTTCTCCGCGTTCTCCGCGATCGTTCTTCCTCGGGACAAAACTTTCACTTATCAGTTATTTTCATCGAAGCGATCCCATCCACGACGCGTTAATCTCCCCCTGGTATGGTACGATAATCCAGAATCGAACGTTCGATACAGCATCTCGCGAGACAAAAGCGCGTACAGATCAAAATCGCAATAGAGGATACGAATAGAGGATTGGTATCCGATTTTTCTTTGGTTTTTCACTGGATGTCGCCATTATGTCTCCGCTATTCGAGATCTACGCGTTGGCATGCATAGAAATCGTCCCCGATACTTCTTTCCCATAATCGTCCGTCTCTCTCCCACTTGGCGACACTAGTGCCTCTCTCTGTCTTCCCGCTAGAACGTGTCTTTATCCGTGAACTGCCTAATTGACCAACACGGTTACGGAGAGACGAGCAACCCCTATATCCTTCCCTCTCTTCTTTTTCTTTTCTTATTCTCCCGTGTGTTCCTTTGAAATCGAGCAACGAAAACGATCAAGACGACGGTATATTCATTTACGTCGAGGCTTGTGCACCTCGCCTTCAAATATATTCTATTATGCAAATGCGACCGGATCTCAACTGATCTTCATTCTTCTCTCGCAGCGACGGGCCACTACGTGGAAGTACTACCGCGTTCTGTAGTCGAGCTGTTCGAACGTTGCTAAACGAAATGTTAACTTTGACTTTGATGTTAAGAAGACAGGAGAAACTGATCCCTGTCAGTCGTGAGACCGTGTCGTTCCCAGCGAGTTGGAAAATATAGGAGTGTGCGTCTGGAGCGTGTGCGCGCGGATGGATCTTCTCTGCGAGGCGAGATTTACTCCGGTGAAACAAGGAGCGCGGCGATCGTAGGTGAGCACGACGAAACTCGTGTACGAGTATCCGAGCGAAACTGACAGTGCATGCGACACGGCCCGGGAGAGACGCCCTGCCATCTGTCCTTGCACACGCCCCGCTTTCCCTCACCCGAAGTCAACGGGAAGATGGGGTAGACATCGTTCGGCGCAAGCGTATCCCTTTAGTTCTATTACAGGCACGCACACAACGCTGTATTACGGGGTGAGCGTGCAGCATCCCCTAGTCAAGAATCGAATTCCATGCCGGCTCGATCGTCGTCCTCGTCGTTGTCATTGTGCTACACGTGTCATACGCACCAACACACCTTATGCACCGTAACAAATTTCATGCAGCG